TATATAAAGACCTATATAGTATTATATAAGCTTAACTTAATATAAATAATATTATATTATATACCTATAATATATCTAACTATCCCTTTTATATCCTAAAATAACTTCTTTCTATCCTCTTATTACTACTTTTAGATTTCTTCTATCCTTTCGTTCTATATATATATAGATTCTAATATATTATTATTAGTTCTTTATAAATAATATTTATAATTAATACCTACTTTATTATATATTATTTATAGTTTCTATTTAGCTAGCTACTTTAAGAGCTTTTAGTATTATAAATAGCTATTAAGCTAGCTTTCTAAATATTAGTTTAATATTCTAAAGGCTATTAGCTACTATATACTTTTCTATATATAGGCTTAAGATTCTAATAATTAGTTTTTACTAAGTAGGATTTTTAAACTTAAATTTAGGATTCTAATAGCTAGTTTTTATTAAGTAGGATTTCTAAACCTAAGTTTAAGATTCTAATAGCTAGTCTTTACTAAATAAGATTTCTAAACCTAAGTTTAAGATTCTAATAGCTAATTTTTAGTAAATAAGATTTCTAAACCTAGGTTTAAGATTCTAATAGTTAGTTTTTACTAAGTAGGATTTCTAAACCTAAGTTTAGGATTTTAGTAGCTAATAGGATTTTAATAGCTAGTTTTTACTAAGTAGGATTTTTAAACTTAAGTTTAAGATTTTAATAGCTAGTCTTTACTAAATAGGATTTCTAAACCTAAGTTTAAAATTCTAGTAACTAATTTTTAGTAAGTAGGATTTCTAAACTTAAGTTTAAGATTTTAATAGTTAGTTTTTATTAAATAGGATTTCTAAACCTAAGTTTAAAATTCTAATAGCTAATAGGATTTTAATAGTTAGTTTTTACTAAATAAGATTTCTAAACCTAAGTTTAAAATTCTAATAGCTAGTTTTTAATAAATAAGATTTCTAAACCTAAATTTAGGATTTTAGTAGTTAGTTTTTACTAAATAAGATTTCTAAACCTAAGTTTAAAATTCTAATAACTAAATTTTACTAAACTATATTTCTAAACTTAAGTTTAAGATTCTAATAACTAGTTTTTATTAAATAGGATTTCTAAACCTAAGTTTAAGATTCTAATAACTAGATTTTATTAACCTATATTTTTAAACTTAAGTTTAAGATTCTAATAACTAAGTTTTACTAAATAGGATTTTTAAACCTAAGTTTAAGATTTTAATAACTAATTTTTACTAAATTATATTTCTAAACCTAAGTTTAAGATTTTAGTAACTAAGTTTTATTAAGTAGGATTTCTAAATTTAGGTTTAAGATTCTAGTAATTAGTTTTTACTAAATAGGATTTCTAAACCTAGGTTTAAGATTCTAAGAACTAGCTTTTACTAAGTAGGTTTTCTAAACCTATATTTAGAATTTTATAATTATAGTTATTTCTACCTCTCTTAATATAAATTAATTTTTTTTCTATATAGCTAGCCCTAACCTTAAACCCTTAGTAGCTGTTTCCTTATATTATTATTTAAACTTTATAATTAAGTTTTAGAACTCCTCCCTATTAGTAAGCTTATAGATACTTATAACTAATTAGTCTATTTAGATATAGAATCTAATATATATTATTATCTAATATAGTTTCCTTTTGCTAGCCTTAGTACCCCTCTTTTATATTACTTATTTATAGCCCTAAAGAAGCTGCTTTCTAGCTTAAATCCTAGCCTTAACCTAGTCTATATTAAGCGTTAGGAGGGCACTACTCTTTAGGCTACTATTTCAAGAAGCTATACTAGAATTATAAAAACGCTTCTTTAATAAGGTGTAGATTTTAAGATAGAAACTAAACCTTTAGATAATATTCTGCAGCATACAGCCTCTTTAGGCTACAGTTAAATCGTCAAAATAATCCTCTATATAACGAATATTAATGCATAAAACAACACTATTATAAGCGCTCTTTATACCTTATCCTATAAGGTCTATATTAATATTACTAGCATGCTATTAGCTGAAGGTATTAATATAAATATATAAGTTTAAGACTAAAGCAGTACCCTTTATACTATATTAGATAAAGGGTATAATAAGAATATTAATATACTTCTTTAATAGGGTGTAGATATTAATATAAACAGTAAGCACTTTTAAAATCCTCTTTAGGTAGCATCCTTTATATTATAGTTAGCTATCTAATAGTAAGGTCTACTAATAGAAGCTAGGGATTAATATATTATAACAGTATATAGAGGTTATAGTCTAAGTTATAAAGTATAAGCTATAATAGATTAAGTTTCTTTAGAGGCTAAGGTGATTAGTTTTAGACTTAATAAGTAGTTTATAATAAAGGTAAGCTAAGAGTATTTATAAGGATAAATACTAAGTTAATTACTAAAGAGTTATAGAAGTCTAACCTTAAATAAAGTTTAGGTTATATTATATATAAGTCTTAAATAGTTCTTTTATCTAGCTTACTAATTCCTAACTAGGTATTAATAAGCGCTTAGTAATCGCTAGTAAGTACTTAGTAGTCCTTACTAAATGCTTAGTAATCTATACTATCTACTTAGTCTTATCTTATTATTATATAACTTATACTATAGTTCTTCTATTTTCTAAATAAGTCCCTATTATTCCTATAATCCTATAGTATAAATATCCTATTCTAGTTACCTATTACCTAAGTAGGTTAGTTAATTATTATCTATATATAATAGGTTATAACACTTTAGAAGGTATAAGAGAATTATAAAAATACTGCTATACTATAGTGCTATTATTAATATATATAGGGGCTACTATAGTAGCACGCTTTAGGCAGCATTAGTAAAAAATCATAACAGCATCTTTTAGATGCTACTTCAGAGCTACGCTAAAGAATAGGTCTTAAAGCGCTCAGCTTCTAACGCTCTTAACCTAACGCACACAGTTCTAGATAAAACTGTTAAGAGATAGCTATTAGTTTAGATTAAAGGTTGATAGCATTACTAGGCTAGAGGAGCGAAACCTAGCAATATATCCTCTTTATATAACTTAGCTGAGATACTGCTCTTACTTAGATTAGTCCACAGAATTTAATATCAACCTTATTAATATAGACGCCTTAATATTACTTACAGTTATAAGAGGTTAAATAATAGCAATATATAGATAACCTAACTTTATAATAGAGCTTTTTTAGGGTCTAATAGTGTCTAAAGCTAAGTTCTAGATAGCAGTAGATTATTTTAGGATAGAAGGTGGTTTAACCTCATGCGTGGTGGTACTAAACGTAATTCTGTAGGCATGTCTTTCAGTATTTCCTATCAGCAGCTAGCAGTCTCCACAGTCTATCTGATATTAAGACAGTCCCTCAACAGGTCGCTTAGTTGGATCTATAGCTTTGACGAGTATTTAAACGGGCCTACTGAGATGGCAAAGGTGATAGTGAAAACTGCAACCCAAAACGGTACATGCTGATGCAAAAGTCGAGAATTAGAACTAGGGGTGGATTAAACGAAAAGAAGAGAAGGAAAGAAATATGTTAACAGGGGTTAGGCGTAGGCCCAGGATTCGCCTACCCCTCGTCAAACAAGGTATCCCTCCATCTTATCCCAAACGATCCATCCACAGATATCCAAGCAATAGCTGAACAACATTCCGCTCAACCAATCCAGACAGATTCTCACGGTCACCGCCGCGCGAGACTCGGGATGAGCATGCTGTGACGCCGATTCTTGAATGCAGCCGGTGAGCACAAGCATCAACAACGTATCCTCGCGAAACCCCAAAGTGACGCATACCAACGGTGGCTACATGAATTGGGACGACGCATACCTGTGGTGCGGTGCATTGGACGGGCGAAGAGAGCTCCTTTCGCAGGCTCTGTGACTCCCACCGCAAATGACTTCTGGCTGCTCGCCTGCAGAGTTTTGCAGGTGGGCGGTACGATCACCAGCGGCGATGCTGGTCTTCACATGGAATGGCATGTCGAGCAACGTCGAAAAGCACTCAGCATCCGAGCACAACGGTCTGTCGCTCCGCTACGAGCCGTCTCGAGCGACCTAACAAGGCCAAACACCGTGGCAGCTGCTCAAAGCAAGTCCGCCGTCCTTATCCACAGCCAGGAGCCAATATCACAGACCGCGAGGGGCTCGCGTCCAGCTCGCTGCAAAGCCGACGGTGCAATCGCGGGGTAGGATGCGGTTGATGGTAACTCGTGAAATGAAGGCATCGCCGTCATAAAGCCCATCAACCGAGAGAGATATTCCTTGTTGTCTGCTTCCTGTTGTTGTTGGCGGGTGCGGGCGACAAATTCTCGCAGTGCCGTCTGCGGTCTCGGAACGAACGACGGCGAGGCGGATCTGGATTCGCATCGGGATTGGCATGGGGATTGAGCCTCTAAGGCGCTATCACTGGGTCCTGCAGTTGGAAGGTCGGGGGTATCGGCGTCTGGATGATGCGCTGCGTGTTTGGTTATCGTCAAGTCTTTAGCCTGTTGGGTTGCTTCTGGGAATTAGGAAAAGAGAGGGGTAGCCCGACTTACCTCCTGCGTTGTTCTGGGATCGGGGAGCTCAATGCGCCCGAGATGCCTCGAGGCATAGTGACCCGTTCGACGCCAACATAGGTATATTCGGCGCGCACAAGGCGGCAGGTCAATGAGGGTCGTCTGGGGACATTGGTGTTGCTGTGTGGCACCCTGCAATGGTTGCGGCGAGGGGAACTTGTGGTGATGGGGTGATAAGTAGCCTGCCGGATTGCCCGGCTACTGCGCCGTCGGGTCCTGGGTCCCGGCCGGCAGGGCCCCAAACGGGCAGAATAGCTGGCTGCACAGGCAGTTTAAACAGTCTCAACTATAACATAATGCTAGTCGACCTGCTAAATGTTACCTCCTCTACTGATGAGCCAATTAGCTGTCTGGACATGGCCTGACAGCTTTGCTAGATGTAACGCCGTCCTGCCGTCACTGTCTCGCAGCTCCGTGTCTGACCTTTCCCATAGGTACTCAACAACAGCCTGGTTCCCGCGGAACGCTGCCCAGTGCAGCGGTGTTCTCTGCAAGGCGTCGAGTGCGTTGATGTTGGCGCCAGACTCCTCTAGTATCCTCAATATCTTCAAAGATCCCCCGATCGCAGCACAGTGTATTAGCGCGACTCCGTCTCAGCCTTAAGCATTGATGTTTGCCATTTTTCTTATGAGAGCACGTATGATTTCGTGCACGTCGATCTCAGCGTTATTATCATCGTGGTCCATGTTGTTGTCGTTGTCCTCGCTTTGATCGTCTTCGTTCTTTTTGTAGCTACTGCTAGCTTTCTCATCGTCAACGTCGTTATTGCTGTTATCATCTTCGACAATGTTAACGTCTGCGTCACATGCGCCAGTTTCATCATCTTCGCATTCGTAGGGGTCGTCCTCGTCGCCGTCGTTGTTTTCATCGTCGTCACTATCGTCGGCGCCGTCGCCATCATGCGTTGGTCCAGATTTGCAAGCGTAATGTAGTGGCGTCCATCCAAATAAGTCTTGGGGACTGGGATTTGCCCCAAAAAACAACAAATATCCTACAAGTTTGTGGCGACACTCCGATGCATACTGCAGAGGTGTCCAACCGAAAATGTCCTTCGCGTTGATGTCCTCATTCAACACTGCTGAGACTACAGAGCCGGGGTCATGGCTGTCGCTCAGAGTTGCTTGGTGTAATTTGGTGTGATGGAAACTTTTGGGATAGTCGTAGCTGCTTTGATCTTCAAGACTGCCGCCCGTGAGCGGGATCCCGCATTCCCACTCACGTCTCTGGATCTTATATAACCTCAAAAGCGCTGCGACGGTGCGATGAGCTTCAGGCCAGCTGCGGATATCATCCTGCAATCGCTTCTTCAGATCCTCGAGAGTTTTCAAGGCCCATTCTTCCAAATCAGGGCTTAGTGGTGCCATTTTTGTTACGTCCAAGGCCATGCTGACTTGCCGCAAGAACTCCAACGCCACCGCTATTACCTGAATTGAAAAATCATTTAGTGTTGGATATGTTTTAGCGATAGAAAGCAGCCACACATATACCCCACCGAATTCTGTCCAAAGGCCAAGTCTGGCGGGCTGCCTTGCCAGCTCCACAATGGCAGTTCCTGCAGGGAGTTTTTTCACCACACTAAGAGAGGGGATCATGCTCAAATAGATGTCGTCCAGGTTGCCGAGCCCGATATTTTCAATTCGCTTAGCCAAGTTTGAAAGCTGATCTTGACGAAGAAAGAAGAATTTCCAGGCCTCTTTGCCTGTTGCTGCGGTGTTGGGATGCACCTCTGCGAGGCCGGAAAACGAATTTTCTTCCAGAGTTTTCGCAGCTGCCCCAAAAAAGCTTGAGAAAATGTCCAGGGCATACAGCGAATTCAATGTCCCGTGGAACTCGGTAGCCAAGACTCCCGGGCCGTCGTCGTCCGCCCATTTATAGTGTTCGACATTACAATGTGATAGTTCTGTTACCCTGTATTTAGAAGTGTCGCCTGGCTGTCGGGGAATTGAGTTGACTCCAGCAGACCCCACCACTCTGTGGTTTTTGTACTCCAGTATTTCAGTTGCATCGTCACCCTCGAAAAATTGATGTGCCCTGACGATTCTGGCGGACTCGCTGCTCATCCACCAAGAGAGATCTCGATGCAGGCTGTCGCTGTAGGTTCCAAGAACACGGAGGCCACGTCTCCCAGGCGATCCTTCAGCGCGCAACCAACTGTCGTCTCGTCTATCTCCAACTGGCAATGCGTCCACGTAGTCCTTTTCTTGTTCTTTCTCCCCTCCCTCCGCCGAGAAAAGCCACAGAGACAAAGCTGCTTCTAACTCATCCGAATATGCCGTCCACTTTCCGTCTTTTCGTGTGAGGCAAAACTGAACAGACTGGCGGCCAACAGTTTTGAGAGACCAGGTGTAAGACTCCTTCTCTGAGTGCCTGAAAAAGAAGTCCATCACAGCCTCAATCGATCGTGCGAGAGAAATAGCCTCTGCAGAAGCCGGCCCCTTCCAGTTTGATAACTGGGCTAGATTTCTTCTGATCTTCACGATAGCATGTGCGGCTGAATCCGGGGCATCGTCGGCGCTAGAATCTGTCATTTTCACAGGGGACCCCGAGTCGTCAATGTTCGCTTCCAAGCGCCCCAATTGCCACCGTCGATCGGTGTCGGATCCTTTGCCACTTCGCGCTCTAGCATTGACAGGATTCCACGGGGCTTCTCCGACGTTGGCGAAGGTCGCTGCGAACCAGTCGAGTTCATATCCAGGAGAAATTTTGTGTGAAGCTGGAGCCGTTGCAAGATGCCGACGAACCCATGACCTAGTTGCCGTCAAGAGGACAATGGCGACGAGCTGAGCAACCGATGCAGACAGTGCAGCTCGCGTAGGCCAACAAATTGAACAATGTATCCACAGATACCAATGAACGGTCCCACGCTAGCCCCAAGCCTTAAGGGTGCGCTGAAACTTTCCTCTGATGTGGTAGTAGATTCCTGGGTCGACGAAATATCTTCACTCGAGGATTTCTTGTCGACTTGCTGGTCTGTCTTGTCCTCGTCCATACGCACCGACTTCATAATAGAGCTTCGCTCAGTTTTGGCATAGATTGCAAAGGAATTGAAAACCTGATCGCTGACGGTTTTAGTTTGCTGCAACCATACTAACTGGGCTCTTATCCCTTGTGAAGGTCGGAACTGGGTCTCCTTGGTGCTGCTCTCCACAACGTGTGCACATAAGAGCATACCAACAACCAGCAGCAATGTTCCGACTGAATAACATGGGAAGGCATGCCTGGCGATAGTGCTCCCGTCCTTGGAATAACTCAGAGACGGATGATACACAGCACATGCGGCAAATACTACCAGTCCGAGCTGAATGACGATTCCCCAGACGGCTGCCGCTCGTACTTCAGCCCTAGTGGTGAGATTATGCGCGTTGAGTGAGATGTTAGGCGCGCTCTTGCGCGAAATCCGAGTGACAATGATGCTTGCCGTTGATGGCTCGGGTCACTTCTCCAAGTTCTCTTTTGAGGCTGCCGGCGAGTGGAAAGGTGAAGCTTTGCGAAGCCTCAATCCCAGTGGTTCTTGCTCTGGCCAGATTGTGAGACTTTAACAAGTCAGTTGAAGATAGTTGACTACTCACCAGAGAGTTGATGTTTGTTTACATCCTTGAACGCCTTCACCTGGATCTTAGTACTCTCGTTTATCCCCGATTCAGGAAGCAAACAGATGAATTCTGTCACAGGGGCTGATCCCATGCACCTAATCACCTCATGGCCGTTCCAGAGCTCACAGGTCTCTGTTGAAGTAGACGACATCAGCTCCTGTTCAGCGACAGCAAGATTCTCCCTAGCCCTGCCAATAAGCGCCTTCAGAAATCCTAGGCCTCCAACTCTGATAGCGCTGACTATGATCGTAATGATTCCAAGCGGTGCCACGGCTAGTAAAATATTATCGGCCCAGCCTAGCGACTGGCTCATGAACTGCATAGTGACCTGCTCTCCAAAGAGAGCGAGCAATCTGCCCAAGGGTTGCGGATTAGTATATGACTTAAGTCGAGTTGCAAATGCAAATGACACAATGAAACAGACTTACGGCGCCAAGTCGGATAGAATGTTGTTCGCAAAGTCGTCTCCTTCATCTGCCATAACGGCAGCCGCGAACATCATTGCGAAAATGAAGCCCCGAAACATGTTGATGCTCATGTTGCCTGTGATATTTGTGATATTTGAACAGCGGTCTGTATAGTTCTGCTGCTGACTGAATGGCGATATGTTGGTGGTTTCCAAAGTGATGACTGATCCCTGGTGGTGCTGGAAGCCTTCGTCTATACGGATTTGAAGAGAGAGAACTCTCATGCGATGTCTACATTCCGCGGCTCCGGTCGGCTTTTTGATTGTCCCCGCCTAAATTTGGACCTACAGGCATGGGCTGTTCGTGAGTAAGACTATCCATATTTAGAAGATAAGAAACCTGTGTACGCCCTGTTGTAAATATGATTGGAAGGCATCAAGTTATGCACACCAAACACGCAGACGGCTGCAGTTAATGAATGCAGTGCGGCCCAAAAGGTCTCAAGTCATCGCTTGGCACGAACATGCCTTGATAAGGGTGTCTAGAAACGGCCTTTAGCCGCTGCCTGCCCATGACCGTACAGATTTTCAAGTAATCACATCTACTTGAGACCCTTTCCCATCGTCAGAGTGGAGAACGTTTATCGCTACTTATAATGCCTTAATGTGAGAACCTAGCTCTGTCGAGCAGAGTAGTCTACCTAAGCCGCACATAGCGTGTGCTTACGAAAGAACTGGTAATCTTTCAAGGAGACGTCTGGACAGTTCCGTGCATTTCTAGCATACCAAGACACAAGTCAGAGAAGACTGCAGGTTTCAAGACGCGGGGACACTACACCGCCATAGGCAGCGAAAGGCTCGCTCAGATGCATGGAGCAGCTGGATGCAGATGGCTGCATACACGAATTCCTCCTGCTGTACTACCCTCAAAAAGGTTGTGTTTATTAGATAGCTTGAGGACAGCCGCATTATTATTCGCCAACATCGTGTGTTTTTGTGATCTGCTCAGAACATAATTGGCTCTATTTACGAAATGCATATGCGTGCCAACCCCGCTTTTACAGCTGCGCAGCCAACAAATGTGGCTCGCTGTATTACCCTACCCAATAGGTATCATCATTCATTATTGCTGGTAGGTTAGGCTTGAGAGACCTCGAGGCAAGGCGATCCGTTCGACACCAGCATGTCTTTGGCGCGCACAAGGCGACAGGTTAGTTGGGGGCTTCTGGGGACATCAGTGTTAGTGGGTTGCAGGCTGCAATGGTTTGGTGATGGTGTGCAAGTGGTGATGTTGTGCGGACATTGCACTTGCGACTTCAGTGATTAGCGCACAGGATGGGCCCTGGAAACCGTGCGCTTCCCCTGCAGTCGCTGTCCGCAGTATGGGGTGGGTCGACCAATCAATCGCGCTCCAGGTCCGCCAGCGCCTTACGTAAGATATTTTCCTGCTGCAATGTTTTTTGAATCGGACCTTGATCATCCACGAAGGGGTCAAGAATCAGCGAAAGTCCCTGCACGCGGCTCTGATGATTGAGGAAATCTCGGGAGAACGTTCGAAGAAAGACGCGATCAACGTGTTCATAGCCATAATGCTGCATGCTCGATATGACCTTCTGTGCGATAATGAGAGCGGCGCGTTGTGGTCATGGTCGTCGCGAGTTCGTCGGGCGCATCTTCTCTTGCATGCTGGAGTCGATGATAGCAGCCAGCACCAAGGCGATCATTTTTCGCTCGGGGAATGGATATGAGGTGCTCGATTTCTAGATTTCTTTTGCTGGTCGGAAGATGAGCAACGTGAATGCAGTTTAGTCCTGGCTCTAGTCCAGCGGCAAGCGCACGCACGATGGCTGAGGTGGGAAGTCGCAGTGTGCGCCAGGTACCTTGAGGTGCTGAAGCCCCTACCTTCCAGGTCCCCCCACCTGCGCCTAAGGTATGGTGCTGCTTTTTCGGTGAAGTCCGCTCGAGAAACCAGATTCACACAACCTGAGTGGAAGTATGCTCTATTCGAGATCATCGCGAACCCTCCATACCAGCGGAGTGGTTCATACGCAAGTTGCATGTAGCAGTACTGCGATTGGAGATGAGTTTTGGGGGCGTTCCCCGCTGCGCGACCGACGGCTGATGTTTTGTCTCTGGATTCGGACGGGCATCTTAGGTAGCATTACTGAGCGATGAAACTGCTTTTGGTAAGTAGGATTTCTGAGTTTGGCGCAGAAAGGGCGAAAGCTTTGGAAGCAGTCGTCGCATTGATGCCATTGCAATAAGTGACAAACGAAGTCGTCCTAGAGTGTGTGAGGAAGAGATGGACGGCGACCAGGTGCAGCTTACCTACGATGTGAATGCATCTCAACGCTTTCTGCCTTTGATGCGAACGGGCCGATACCAGAATCGCATGTGAGGACGGCAAAGCACTACACACGACCATAACTCCAATGGTCGCTATTACCCATCTTCCCAAGTGCAAGTCCTCTGCTCCGTGGGAGTCACCAAGTCAGCCGCTGCCCGAGATGGACCACAAATGAGAGTGCTGCCTGTTTTCAGCAGTAGATTGGTGCTGTCACAGGGGGGCCAGCGCCGAATAGCAGCGACTGCACTTCACTGGGTCGCAAGTCGGCTGCACGTTAGTGGTGTCCCCACCATGAGGACCCCTGAGACCTGGGTACCTAGCATAACTACCGACCACGACCACACTTATGTAATCTGCCGCGGAAATGTACCACAAATATGGTACATTTTGCCGCCGGCTGGGAAGGCCGCAGTCCATCTTCCCACACGCCACGTGGACTGGGGTAAACGGAGACGGACCAACAAACATACGGAAACATTCAACATCTAAACTCACTTAGCGTGAGGGTATTCACATCATTAAGTAGGTAAGTGGGATTAGCAGTGAAATCAAAGGTTCAGCTTTTAATGGAAAACCTTGGTATTAATAATTAATCATTCTTATCTGATTTGAGCAAGGTGTGACTAGATCTGGTTCCCCGTCGTAGCCATTTCAAAGCCACGCAACTGGTCTTTGTACAAACAGCAGATCATCGGTGAGCAACTCTTAGGTGGAAAACTCCGCTTAAGCAGCGACGAGGACGTAATACTGCGAGCTCGCGTGATCAGCGGTACCGATGCGGAGATTGCCGTCGTCATTGAAGAGGGTGGTTTGGGACGCGGCGCCGCCCGCCGCAGAGTCGACGGCGGTGCACTGGAGCTTGTTGGCCGCGCCCTTGACGCAGTAGACGGGGCTCATCTTGTAGCCAGCAGCACTGATTGCGGCCGGGTCGGAGACACGGAGGTAGTGGCTGTTGACAAATGCGCCGCTCAAGTCAACGACGAGACTGATGGCAGAAGTGGTGGTGACTGATCGAAGGCGGCACAGGGTGGGGTTGGCCGAGTCGGCGACGAAGTTAAACTTGGAGGCGCCGGCGAGGTCGACGGTCTTGGTAAGGTCGATCAGGAAGGAGGTGTCGCTGGTGACAAAGTCTTGCTCGAGGACACCGTAGTTCGTGTTGCCGTCGGCGCTGCCCTGCTGCTGGATGGCGTAGGTGCCGGTGGGGCAGGCGGGGGCGGGGTTGGAGGTCGAGGTAACGATCGAGGTGACCGTCTTGGTCGAAGCGGTGACGCCGGCGCAGGAGCAGGCCGAGGCGTACTGGGCCGAGTTGGAGCAGCCGGAGGCGTACGCGGGGATTGTGGGAGCGGCGCGCTTGGCAACCTGCGTGATCATGTTGTTGGGGTCGACGACGGCGCGCTTGACCTTAGCGGCGGCGGCAGCGGCAGCTACGGTGGTGGTCGTGACGACGGTCGAGGTGACGGTCTGGAAGGCCTGGCAGTCCGCGATGCCGGAGCGCGTAGGGAAGGCCGAAGCCCTGATCTGGCGCAGACAGTTGTCGGCATTGCACTTGGTCGGGTTGGCAGCCGGGGCGGCGATGGCATTGACGGCACTGATGAGGCCGGAGGCCAGGGCGATGGTGTTGAAGAACTGCATCTTTCTTTTCGGGAGGCACGAAGTATGGGGAAAATGTGAAGTGGACGATGTGTCTGTGGAGATGGAGATGGAGATGAAGATGGAGATGAAGATGGAGATGAGAAAGGAGTTGCCTGACAGGGCTGCGGGCATCGTGTTTATATGCTCTCGCGGAAGCAGAGAAAATGAAAATGGCCTTAGGCCTGCCGGTCGCGATGCGCCATGCGGCACTCACCTGGCCCTGGACTCCATCTTCGAATGGAGGAAGCCACAGAGTCGTGATGCTTGGCGGCTGGCCGGAGCGCTGATGGCATTCCCATACCGCTACCTAGCTGGATGACCCTTTGTCTGGCTGGAGGAAATGAGCACCTTTCAGCCGCGGCTGAAGTCGAGCAAAGTCGATTCCAGTCAGCTGTTGTCTGCGGTCGCCGCCGTTGTCCACTTGATGTGGTGGTAGTTATGGCGAGGCCACGGCGGCGCGTTCGAGGCTTTCACCGTTCGCTTGGTATGGTGAAACTCCCAGCAAGACTATGGCGGCGCCCGGCCGCCCGACAGTCACGCCGCCCGTCGACCGGTCGCGGTCCGGTCCCGGTGGGGCGGTTTGGTGTTGCTCGTGACCAGCCGTTGCACTAGGGGTTAGCGCGCGGGGCCTCGGAGACCGTGCGCCTCCCCCGAGGTGGTCCGCAAGAACTGTTCAACCAATCAGTCCGCGCCTGGGGTCCGCCAGCCCCTTACGTAAGATATTTCCATGCGCCCAAGACCGGCCTTATGTAATCTGCCACGGAAATGTACCACAAATATGGTACATTTCGCCGCCATCTGGGAAGGCACTATCCACCGCCGTCCGTTCTCATACACGCCACGTCCCGTAATAGACCGCGGTAGCAAGAATAGAGACGGACCAACAAACATATGGGAAACTTCAACATTCTAACTCCACAAAAGGAGACGGTTCAAATGATGGCCATTCATAGCTGAAGAGTGGTTCATCTGCTGAATTGTTCTGCAGGCGGCAAGTAAGGGAGATTCGCCAGCGCCGGCCCTGGTGACTTTTTCTTCCAGCGAATTTCACAAGTCGAAAGCGTTTTCTGTTTTGTTTGGGCACATTCCCAGAACACCATCAGACTTAAACCTGCCAGAGCTCCTAATCAAGACGTAGGTTTTCTTACCCTTAGTCTGGATATCCCAGCAAGACAAGGCCAAAAAATGCCTTCGCTTTACGACGGCTTGAAACATCCATCAAGCCAGAGGTGGGTAAACAACTAGCTGACTTCAAGATGGCAGTCTTGCGGGGGCCGCTAGTTCAAGCCCAGAAGTTTTCTGTGGTATTAATAACAGAATCGTCAAGCACCCTACGTCAACTTTGAAACCAGCCAGGTTGTTTGATCTAGAAGCATCGCTAGCATTTCTCCCACAGAGCCCCAATGTCCGGGCTGGCCCGTGAGACTCATGGCCGATCGACGAATATTCTAGCGGCGGCCTATCGACATGGCTATATGCATCAGAGCCCTTGTTGGGGAGGGAGATGGAGGGGGGAAATATGGTTATTCTAAAGTAAAGTCGCCTTGCTAGTGGGGGCAAACCAATATTAGCAATTCAACTCCAACGAAAATGTTCAAGCTATCTTTCAACCTGTATTTCCTTTACGCCGCGCGTCGTCGTCGTCGTTCCAAGACTGCCTGTCGGGGACATTGATGTAATAGGAAGTCGAAATGTTCTCCCAGATACTAGTAGTCTACCGATAAGAAACTTCCCAGGCGTTGACAACCAGGCGAGTCGTGATCACGTCTTCTGCATTATCAGAGAAAATTTGGTGCATTGACTAACTTCCCAGGCATATACCTCGAATGCACCTAATATTGGGCGATGCATGCAAGCGGAGAGCGGTTGCAGATGCCTCACCGAGGTTTCATGGCCCAATAACGAGTTGTTCTCGTGTGCACGCGTATACTGTCTGATTTTAACCAAATAGGTAGAGGGAGCTCGCAGATACGATGGCTCTGGCCAACTATCACGCCAATCATTTTAGACGCTTCGTCGCAGTGGCTTGTAAGTCTCTCCAGGGAGACTTCAATAGCTTGTCATTCAAAAGACTGGAAGCACACCGAACAGATGGCAGCACGCCTATCCTTACTCTTGAGGTTTGACATTACGTTATCTTCTCATCTCCAGAACCGGCGGCGACCGGCGGTGTTTGCCATATGAGTAGACATGAGCCAGAGAATGGATGCTACTTGATAGGTGCCAGTTGAGAGTCCAATGATTCACTGGATTCAGCACTAGTGAGACTTTCGAGTCATGCGTGTTTGCGAGCAGTGTGGCCGTCACACCCATGTAATGCATGTCAGCCCTTCATTGCTTGGGGCCTGCCCCTCGAGCCCCCTTGACCTTGGAAGTGGGGGAAACGCGAGCGGTTACTTCATAGAACCTCCAGAAATGCAAGGGTCACATAATTACATGCAGAATTGTGCGGTAGAGGAAAAGGATTTGCAAGCATCGCTACACTGACAATACAACAAGCCCAAGCAAGTCTGAACGTCGTTATACTCCAGTAGGCAGCAGGGCCTTCGTTACAAGTTTAAAGGTTCACGTACATCATGAAATAATAGCAAGAATAAATAACAGCCTCAGATTCAGTCAATACTCAGGTAAGGTAGCAGAAGAATACCTGTGAGAATCTATCCAGCAGATTATTAGTCGCCGAATCATGCTACTATTTGCTACAGAAAGTTCTTATGTTAGCACTTAGGTAGGTAATCTTGCACTCTTGTGAAAACATTAAGACCAGAGGTCTGTTCGGATCGTGATGATCGAACGTTTGGGAGCGCGGCCCGTGTCTTCGTCGGCGCCTTTATTAATGAAGGAGGCCAGGCGGAAGAGAAGAAGCTGTAGACGATTTAGAGCCTCTGTTTTCTCAGTACGCCGTGCAACAACTCCCACCAACGGGAAGGCTTTCCCTCGCAGAATCCCCCCTTGACAAGGCTGCTGTTCTTGTCATCTAGGCGTTGACTTTAGGCGTCACAGTGCTCTTGAAACTTGCCTGATCCGATGGTACGGAGCGTCGTGCTGAAACAGACTCGTCACATGCTTCTCATCTTTGTTGAATGCGTAAGGTTCCGTCCAAGTACCACCATGAATATTCGTGATGACACATGCAGCCAATGGCAAGCAAAGACGGGTGGTCACTGCAATAGAGTACGCGGGCGGCCGTGTCGTAGGAGCACGAGTAGCTGCCATCCAGTTGAGGAGGTCGAATTCCAACTGATTCTGGTGTCTGGATGATGCGAGATCTGTTTATTTGCGCAAGATTGAAAACGGGAGGAACTGCCTCGCCAAGAAGGTCAATTCGACGTTTGCCGTCAGTCGTCAGATATGGAGGCTTCGGTCAGGGTGAAGGCGGGAGACGTCCGGCAGTGGATATGCCCTGTGGTTTTGGAGTTGGCACCGAAGAATAGTATTCGCTCTGCGAATGGGATATGAGGGTATCGGACAAGGATTTTGGTTGCGGGAGGTCTTTAGCGGACAGGCCACAGCATTTGTTCTGCCGATGCGGAGGAACCTGAAGGTGCTGAGTCCCTTCGCCTTCCTCTCGAGCTAGTTCTCTTCAGTGCAAGTGTCTCGCAGAATGCTAGAGGTGGTCATTTCGGCAATAGGAGCTCAGTGAGGCAGCTCGTGCTAATATAGGGACCCAGTGAACATCGTCCGCTTGCAGCCCCTGCTTCTTCCCTCTGACCAGCACAAGCGTCACAAAGCGGATATAATATGCATGTTGGGGTGGTGTGTAGATCTTGCTTCTTTCTCATCCCGTCTTGATCCAGCCGACATGCATCGCCTTCCGCACCCTTCCGCCCCCTCCCCCCTTCTACCCCAACCCTCACTACCCTGCAAGCGCACTCCTAATTTACCGGTATGTCTTCACTGAACCCTGCTGTTTGAGTACGCCTACCTTACTGGCTTTTCCGAAGGTGGGGCCTTTGGCTGCATTTAGGTTCTCTTGCTGCAGACGTATTAATCAGCACCAACACTCCTCGATGTGAATTATCAATCAAAGACACGCCGCAGTTCTCCAGACGCATCACCTTTCCCTAAAGAGATCCTGAATCACTCGGTTTTAAAAGACTTAACTCTACTCTCATGAGTTATGTTGGGTCCGACTAAGTTCTTCAATCCTATTTATCAGTCATCATGTCGAGTCGCCCTTCACGCTCAACATGGCAACATCGACGTCGCATGAATCAGGTGCTGCGGCCACAGAAGCTGTGGCTCTCGAGAGTATCTCGAGACCGCTGAAGAACCGCTTTCGCCTAGGCTGTTCATGCTTGCTCAATTTCACCAATGGTCTAAATGATGCTGCTCCCGGCGCGTTGATTCCGTTCATGGAGAGGTATGTGAAGACCAACTATTCAAGTATGCCGGTATATTCAGCTCATAGGGCAAGATATTATTCAATTGGATACACTATTGTGTCCCTTATCTTCGTTGGTAATGCTGCCGGCTTCATCATGGGGGCTGCCTCTTTAGGGCCCTTAACTACAAGGTTTGGCCGGGCTCGATTACTCATTCTGTCACAAACGACCATGGCCGTTGCATACATCCCAGTTCTATTACAAGCTCCGTATCCAGCTGTCGTTTTCGGATTCTTCCTCACTGGTTTCGCCATATCTATTAACATCGCGTTGACCAACACCTTCTGTTCTTCTTTGACTGATAGCGTCCGAGCCCTGGGCGCAATTTCTGCTTCCTACGGTCTGGGCGGAACTGTTGGCCCGCTACTTGCTACCATCATTGCATCGAAGGGCATGCAGTCATGGGCATGGTATTACACTTTGCCATTAGGCCTGGCATTTTTCACCATTGGATTTTCTGCCTGGTCCTTCTGGCGATATGCCCAGGAACGCGAATCGGACAATGCGACCAACACCGAAATGCCCACGCTTTCGGGCACTGAGCCACGGATGCAGATGCCGAAATCCGTTTCAATCCTCAAGTCGCGAACGGTACTGCTAGGAGCTTCCTTCATTTTTGCCTATCAAGGTGCCGAAGTTTCTATCGCTGGTTGGGTTGTTTCGTTCCTGATAGACAGCCGTCAGGCTGATCCTGACACCATTGGGTTTGTCTCATCAGGATTCTGGGCCGGTATTACTGTTGGGCGATTTCTTATGTTTTTGTTCAAGAGCAAAGTGAACGAAAGGCTGTTCGTCTATTTGGCAACGGTTGGCGCAGTCGTATTCGAGTTGCTGGTATGGCTCGTTCCCAACATCGTTGGCCCAGCGATCAGCGTAGCTATTGTTGGCCTGCTGTTAGGCCCGATTTACCCCTGCGCAATTTCTCTCTTTATGCAGGATCTGCCAAGGAGTCAACGCGTCAAATCCATGGGCATCATCAGTGCTCTTGGCAGTTCCGGAGGAGCATTCGCGCCATTCAGCACAGGACTTCTGGCACAAGAAAAAGGATCTTGGACACTGCACCCAATGGCTATTGGCTTGTTCTGTATCATGATAGGTTGTTGGCTTGGCACAACTTCGAAAAGGAAGCGAGAAGAGTAGTGCGTGCCGTTTGTACATCAATCCTCACTCAGTACGGTCGTGCAATGTAAACGCCGTTTGTCTGCGTAGTTGGATCAGGTGTTGCCACTCGTGATCAAGAATAAGAAGCCCATCCATCGATCTGAGCACTGGGCGACGAGAACAGTAGATGAGTACTACCAGACCACAAAGCCAGGTTAGAAGCATCTCGGACTACCCGTGTGTTTTGTAGGAGAATGCGAAGCATGAAACTGGGGAGCCGACATCGTACTCTCAACCACGAGTATTCTCGACAATGGGCCTTGGTGTCTTACTCACATAACGCTTGCCACGTAAGCCGCCACTTACCTGTCAATATCATGACCGTCGTCCTTGACGTGCTACCACCACCCGATCTTCTCGTTCTGTCGACTCAGAATGTCCCCAAAGTGTGCAGAATCTCCGCAGTTTTCGGCATATCCGAAAACCACCTGCTTTTCTGTATGGTGCACGACCGCGCAATGCAAGGTCGTAACTTCTTTCGATCCCTCGCCAGATTAACAAGTCTGACTTCCGATTGAAATGCAACCTTGGATCTACTTTGTCGTTTTGCATCATAGCGGCGCCTGAGATCAACGGCAGGTCGCGCACGAACGGGTGGTTTTTTGTTTTCAACGAAGCGGAGACGACTGAACCGTATTTGCAGCGATCTGATTCCCAAACGGGAGAACAAAATGCCAATGAGTCAGCTTCACACCAAGGCCCGTCCGCAGAGAACGAACTTACACCAGGCAAAGACCAGCAAGACCCTATTGGAGGTCCCCTGACGCTGTAGAGCCGGCCCAAACCTACATATGCAACTTCCGACAAAGGTAGAACGGGTGTATCATCAACTACCGAGACACGTTTACCTATTGATCTGCCATCCTCAATAACAGGTCAAAGTACTCTGGCGGCTCGGAAGACTGGGAAGACGACCCCTTTGCTGACGATTGGGACTCAGCGGCTGCAAACGTGCTCAAGGGAAACGGACTCGCCACTGCAAGTCACGACAGCGAAGAGACTTCCCAAACCGAAACCGATTCATACGAAGAATACAGTGGTAGCCAGGAATACGTTGCGGACGTAACCAATTTGCTCGGTCGAATAGTGGTCAAAATGGTGTTCTGTTGCCAACCTATTAGACACCATGCCTCCAATGGCAGGCCAATTCCTGGCGGCCGTGCGGACCGACGATCAGAAGGTCGCACGACAGCTTTTCAACCTCGACGTAGGGCGTGTTGCGGAGTTTCAAGGTTCCGCCTTCAACTACGTCAGCAAGATGGACGTACACACTACCTACGTGACAGGACACCTATTAGGCCCAAGAACGTATTGTCAGCGGGGTCAGTCAAGCCAGACTAAGAGTCCTGCCAATCACTGCTCCAGAAGACCAACGGGCAGTCTGCATCGTCGGGCAAGAGGTACGGACGGTTACGGGCTTCTACCTGCTGGACTCCCCGCCTGGCACGAATGAAAGCATACGCCGGGCACAGGCCCATGTTGTATCGTACGTTAAGTCTCGCCTGCCCAGATTCTCACAAAGAAACTAAGCTGACATCACGGCTCAGCAAGTCGCCAGAAGATGGCGGGAGATTTGTGTGTCTAGAAATTAATGCTTGCATAAAAAGCTACTCTGTGGGTCGATTGATGTGGATTTTGTCCGTCACCTCATTCACCTCATGGCTGCACTTTGCGGTGCCAGCCAGACTGGTATTCAAAGTTCCTCATTAGTATAAAACCAACTTGGCTGCTGATATCGATCAATTAAATCATGAGAATCTTGGCATGATAACATGGGGGAACTACTTGAAAAATAGAAAGTATAGAGGCCAGCGAAGGCCACAAGTCCTTAACAGGATTTAAGCAACACGCATGATAAAGTTGTGACATGTTACTACATCCTCAAAATGCTGGGAGACGTATGCGTGGTATATCTGTCGAACTTGAGGCGAAGATTTGAGCATGGAGCCTAATCACACTCCTTCAAGGGGTTCGGCTGAGGCGAGATATTTGCGTTTACATTCACGCGCGGTTAGGCAGCAGGAAAACTGGGCTAGGTTTCAGTCCAGCCAGCTAATAGGCTAATTAGTAGAACCTTCATGCAGTCATCATTTCAGCTTGGTACGAGGCGCCTATCAGTTTCAGTGCCAAGGCGACAGACACGTTGTCCTGACCCGTTTTGGGCGGGGGTCGCAAAGCTAGGCGGGCCATTCTTCTCATTCCCTTCTTAAACCCTGCCCCCCTTTGCTCCATCTTATTAGATGCTAAGCCTACCGGCAGCTCGCAACATTGTACCAACTTCTTGACGCATTTCACTACATTTCCAACAATGGATCATCTTCCGACGCCCACAGCAACTGAGCTACGCATCACAACTGTCCCTCTCCTCGAACCGGAACTCCAATGGCATTATCCAGCGCATGCACAAGGATTTAAATTCTTTGAAGAATTCCCGGCCTTGCACGGTTTCCAGACAGAAGATCTGGCAACCCGAGCGGTCACATCCTGTCGGCATGCTGCGTTTCTTCAAACTTGGGCTTTTTTTGGACTGCTGAGAGAAGTCTTTTCAATTGAGGATTATTGCTTCGACCCCAACGATTTCAAACATCCGACCGATCGTGGCAGTGGCATCACCACGAAAGCTCTCACAAGGTACACCTGGTATTGGCAGGCGGCGAGAGCTCATTACGACCAGGATAAACTGAGGATGATCGACGCGACGGTTGACAGGTGTCTTGGCCTGATTCATGGCGTGATAAGAATGACGAACCAAACCATACGCTCCCTTCCCGACGCCGAGGACGACGTGAATCCATCAAGCTGGTCCCCCACAGTGCGCGTCATATATTCTGTTGCGCTTCTCGGCGACTACCTCACAAACGCAAGACGCAAGTTGAGGCTCTACACCCCAGGTCCAGCCTTGAGTTGGAATTTTAGTCCGCTAGAGAAAGTCATGAAGCATGCCGGATGGTGCGACGGGGAGCTTTCGAGATTGCCTACTCATTGCAACCTGTCAAGCCGGGCTTTTCTCGCCGGCATCGATCGAAAAGGCCTTGGCAAAGACCACGACAGATGTAATGCGGAAGTTGGCTGTCTTGCTCACCAACTTGACTACAAGACCTATCAGACAAGACATCGGCCTGGATGTTCTGGCAAAGATTGCCGCGAAAGGGGGCCATCTGTACCCAGCATTGTGGCCGCGATTCAGAAAGGAGGAAGTGCCGCGGTAGATGCTTCAGGCGTGGCGAATGGCCAAGATCCACGCGTTGTTCAGGTCGGCGGCAGCGGTGGCACTCAGACGCGTTACGTTGCCATTTCTCACGTGTGGTCAGATGGACTTGGAAACCCGTGGAGCAACCGTCTATGTTCATGCCAGCTGAATCAAATACAGGCCCTAGTTAACGGCTTATATCCACTTGACCACGCGCCCGTTCCGTTCTGGATTGACTCCTTGGGTATACCGGTTGGAAAGAGACACGTTCGTGACCGCCAGGTGGCGATCACCCGAATCTATCAAACGTTCAGCCAGGCCGACAAAGTCCTAGTACTCGACAACTATTCAAATCTTGTGATAAAAACGCGCCACTGGTCGAGATGCTTATGCGCCTCCAGTACTCACCTTGGATGACTCGGGTTTGGACCTTGCTTGAAGGCAACGTAGCAAGGAACCTCCACTTTCAGTTCGCAGACAAGGCCGTGTCCAGTGACTACCTCAATGGGCCTGCTGCTCGGCAGAGTTTCCAGGTAGTTTCCAATTGTTTGAGAGAGCTTCCAAATGAGAGGCTCTGGTCTTGTCCAAGCGCGATGCAACTGATACATGCATTTGCTGTGGGCTCAGCAATACCAAAACACCTTGGCAATTACGCTAGTCTTCCAGAACAGTCGGACTCTGACGAAGAGGAGCTGCGGCAAACTGCAATCCAGCTTCTAGAGCAGAATGACTATGTATATGCTCTGGGCAAAGAGTGGCGTCAATTCCTATTTCAGTCTTGGGAAGATTCTAATCTGCTCGAGTGCGAGGAGGACACCCATGTTCTGACTGATGTCGGCACACAAGTGACTTGTCCTGTCCTCACCCACGGCCTGAACTCTATCGGAAGCATGCGTGGGGTAGCGATACAGGAGTACCACCGTGATCGACATGATATGGATTCAGCGTGTTTCACAGAGGCATGTGGGGGATTTCGATCTCGAACTACCAGCCGACTCGACGATGTAACCATATGCATTGGGGCAATGCTACACATAGATCTGGAGGATATTGTGAGCATACCCACAATGAATTGGAGGTTAAGAGAATGGCTCGATTTCTTCGACAGCGAGAGATCCTCGCTGCTCTGGGTGAGAAGGTTGGGCATCAATACTCAGCGATGGACTAACACGTGTCATCTCGAGCGGATGAAAGTTTTCTTGTCCAAGGTGGAAAGGTACCCAATGTCCATCATTTTCTGGAACGCGCCGAGATTACCGGAGCACACCTGGGCACCCCAATCGCTCTTGCATCGAGACATGGTCGTATACTTTCCCCGAGTCCAAGGATATGCTCGATTGAACAAACATTCCCACGGCCTCGAATTCAACATTGGTGCTTATCTTCTTGGGAACGACAAAGCGAAACAGAACGAATCTCCAAGTACATCGACAGTGGCCTCCCACGCGAATAAGCTGTGGACCGGAGAACCTATTTTGTTCAGAACGGGAAGATTGATTCAAAACTGGGTTCAGAAGATACTTGCCAGGTTACGGAATATTCCCCAACTGATGCAAAACGATTGCCCTTCCAGAGTCGAACACGGCGATGAGGTACTCACGATTCATCACGACGGCCCAATGGAGAGAGAGCAAAACTCTGTTATATCACATATTAGATTTGTTCCAAACGATAGGACGATATCAGAGAAAGAGAAACGACGCGGATGGCAAGATTACATTGATGAAGAAAAGCTTGATAATCTTGCGATTCTCCTACGGGCTGGTTACGGGGCACTTGTCCGCGTATTAAGGCATGAAAACGGGAGATATATTGCTCAATATATCAGATTAGTAGAGCATGCACAGCGCGAAGTGATAGGACCTCATGTTGAAGGTGTGTGGTATAATAAGAGAGAATGGTGTATTTTGTAAAAAGGAGTTAGAATATGTAGTCCTCCCACAGATATACAACAATGCTTCTTGCTGTAGACCGAACATGCATGTTTTGAAGTCTGGCCATGGTAGTTTTGTTGTTCGTGGCTATGTTTGAAATAGAATGAAAGAACAAGGTCTGGGAGAACTTTCTTCACCCTTGAATTTTTGGGAAAGAGTAGAAAAAGCCTGTTTATCGATATGGACGGTAGTACGTCTGGTCTTTATTGCACATCTTGCTTGCCATTGTAGAACACAACGTAGGTACGATATGATGGTACAAAATACGCTTGCTCTGCAGTATGCATTGGTTCTTCTGGCGGTCGTCATACACAACGCTGCATTAACGCACAGCAGTGCAGAAACTTGGAACATGGGAGGCTTTAGCAAAACTGGTGTAGCCGCATTGAATTCGCAGACTCCGTGTGGCTTAATACAATTCAATGTGATGCTATGCACTGTGATGCACTGCGACGCACTACGACGTCGGTATCGGAAAGCCGGAAGTGGACCAGCTGGACGGTTATCAAACGTTTCGATCTGCGAGGGGCGCGTGCTGCGGCCATTTCTCTGGAAGACGTGACAGACTGATCCTAGGCGAGTATGGTCTGGAATTTGCGGCATGTTTAGATGATGGAGCTGGTGTCTGGAGGAGAAATGAGGGTGTCGAAGCCAAGGCATGCTAGCTGGCCCCAAGGCAAGCGCAAGGGTTTGAGTTGTGAAGTCGTCGGCTTAGGAGTTTAACCGAATTATCGCCAGTCAACCAGACTATCGGTTAGTTGATGATGAATCTACTAAATTGTGTGTGATTGACGTCTCTCTCAAGCCTTGACACTTGCGCCAGTTTTGCGCAAGGCTGGGACCGTGCCGCTGCCATCGCCGTAGGACACCGGCCGAGTGGGGCCGAAACCGGGGTCGGAGCCTGTGGGACCCGGACTCGACCAAACCCAAGCAGATTGAATCGACCAATATGCGCAGAGGATGGCTTGCACTGTGTTTGATTGTTGTTTGTATGTAAAGTCGACACACGTCTTTCAGAAACCTTCATAGTGAGAGCTTTCCCTTCCTTTCGACACTATCGAACGACACGAGACAATTCGCAGACAGGCAACCTCACATTCGGCTACAAGCCGAATTAACCAGCAATGCTGAGTCGACACCTCCAAGATACTCTCAGGAACCACAAATCAGCAAGTTCTCGTGTGGGAATACAGGAATATGCGCGATTAACACAACTGTAAGTTCTTTCTAGCCTTCGTTCCTCTGTTCTTTCGTCCTTGGCTCCATCGCTTCAAACACTACCTAATCAACACATAGTACCGGTCTTTGTGTCCAAGTCAATCCAAATCTCTCGCACTACATCAGCACAAATCGCCATAACTATTTCCACGATAAGGGTCGCCCTGGGCACATTGATGCTGACACTGAGGAAGTGGGCGGCATTCGGGCGTCGAGGCCGATGGAATGACGACTGATAGGGCCTGGCCGCCTTTATCCGGCACCCAGGTGCTTCTCAACCGCGATGGGCTCAGCATTCTGTATTTTCGCACCCTGAAACCGCGCCACCGCGTGATTTTCAAGTCGACCACGGTAGCGAGCTTCATGTTGTCAAGTACTGATGCATTTTCAGCAGACATAACTTTGAGTATCACGGTCAATATACGGAACGCCGACATTGATCTTGTCCTGCGTCTTCCCGGTTTCTTGTGAAAATACCACACTGCCAAAAGCTGAAGATATTGACTTGTCAAGAGCTCAGGGGCCCAGCAGCGAGATGGCTACATCGAAGGGCATTATTCTCGGCAATTTTCGCGGTTCCCTCCCAGTTACCACATAGAACCTGGCTTGCATTAGCGCTACAGATCACAAGTTTCTCCGGCCGTTCATCAAAAGCTTCAATGGGATTCAAGCGTGGGTTATCACGAATATCACGGAGAAGATCTTCCCAGGTACAGACGCGGATGTCATTGGAATGCATCATGTGGCTGCACAAACTCGCTGAAAACAACAACATGGGCTTCGTCCCGAGGATGAAATAGCAGTGAGACCGTCCGCAAGCTCCCAAATGACCCATCTCAAAAGGATGCCAAGGAGCGTGGACGCCCTCGCATATTTCCCCGTGAGAGTCATACGGCAGCCAACTAGGTGCGCCTCCAGGCGGCAAACTGCTGAGAAGACAACTTTCCCCGCATCTGTGTTTTCTTTGAACCATTCAAGAACGCTTCCACTAAACGTGCAACGTTATTGTATATTTCCAACGTTCTACTCCATTCTGATCTATCCCTGCCTGTCGCTTCAGACACGCAGCCAGATTCTATTTGTCCCGGGCTTGGGGCCCTGATTGAGCCTGCAACTATGAAGGGCGGAGTCTTGATGTTGAGCCTGACTGCCATGCACTGCGGCTCTTCAGCCAAGTATCTGTTGACACATGTCTTCCCATTACTTGCGGCACTCCGGAGCAGTCCTCCGTCGGGAGGACAAGAAGATGCTGAAAACGATGGGTTGCAGGTGCGTAACAGCGCAATCTCCCCGTCTCTCGGGGTCATACAGAAGCAGATTAAAGGGACGTATGGACCCATCGAGAAAACCACTGCTGGCTTTGTCGGTTGATCGTGGGCAAAGTCGCCGGGCAAAGTCACTGAATGCCCTTGATCAGCTTGAGCGGGTGCGCTTCGCCGCCGGAGAGGAAGGCCGCCGGGCTTGCAAAACGCCCGGTATCAGAAGCGGTCTCTTAGCGTACAGATCTTTGTGACTGTGGCCAGGGATTATGAATTGCTAGTTAGACTCTTAAAGGAGTCGGAAATGGACCTTATCCAGAGTGTGATTGAGGAGCGGCTCAAAAACAAGGGAAAGGGCCTGTTTTAATGTGCAATGTCAATGACAAAGTTGCAAATGGAGTCGAAGCATGTCTGGGGCGACTTGACTTCGAAACCGGAGATGGACCTCGTTGTCGACATGGCCGTCGACTTTGTATTCAGCAACGGCGTTCACATTGCAATAAACAAGCAAGAGTAAGAGTACCAATAAGCGAAAATCTAAGGCTGAAAGAGGGTTGGAGAGGAAGGCAGGTTCGGAATCTGGCTCGGACTGAAGCGCAGCAGGGGGTGAAGTCTTTCTTAGGCCAATTTGATAGATCAACATTGAACTAACGATTCTGAGCCCTAAGTTCTTAGATCGGAAGCGTCGCTAGGGCACGTCGCGAAATGTTGAAACTGCGAGGCGCTGCGAGGCGCTGCGGGTTGTTGAGCATCACAAAAGGTGCGAGGGATGACAAGTCGCAGGGACGGAGTGGTGGGTGAATTGAAAGAATCCGGGCCGGAATCTGTGGATCTGGTGGGGCCGCGTTCGGCGCGGCAGGATCCACTCGGCCCCGGTGTTGGATGCAGCGCCATGATGAAACGCTGCCGACCAACCCCCGGTCCTCGTTGCTCAAACTTCCCATAACAGTGGCTGCTTCCGGGTCTTCAAGATCAAGCGCACGAAGACGGCCACGATGCCCCGTGTGCCTTATGGGGCCTCTGAGCAGACTAGGGAGTTGGAAAGCACTGTATCTGCGGATCTCGAGATAGCTACTAGACGAGTTATAACTACTAAAACATGTATATATGTGGAATGGGGTTGGAAAGCGTACCCTGCACCAGTCGCAGCAGCCTCCTAGACCAGTGCCGACAACAGCAATTTTCATTGTCGATCTTAGGGGAGTCGTGTATCCCGATTACCGGGTGTGGATGCGGTTTGCAGTCAGTGTCAACTCAGTAGCAGGAACGCGATGTTTAAGCAGATACCTGTTGAGACAGCAATTGTACTGAAAGTTCTTGCGTGCCCCTCAACATGTAAGCATCAATAATATTGCTTTCTTCTTAAGCGAGGCCAGGGATGACAAGCCTCTGCCACTTGACGCGCTATAGCCACTAACGCGATTGAGCCGGTTAGTCTAATAATACTCTTTGCATCCTCGCATGTCAAGGCGATTGGGCAACCGGAGTGACACATTTTACAGCTCGAACTCCTCACGATACTTACAAACTATCAAATGAATTCTCATTTCATAACCTACTTCCCTGGCGGAATGTGTTGTCTTTACACCTTCAAGTCAACTGTTACCAGATCCTTGACCGAACGCTCAGGCACAAACCGCAACACTAGCAGATCGTCATTTTCCTTCCAGTCCAGGAGAAGCTAGGTCCGGATCCGGATCTCTACTAAGCCAACGCGCTACAATCTTATCTACCCAGGCATTGGCATTACCTGAGCCAAGTAGATGCCTGACCGCACCCATTGCATTCTTCACCCACTTCTCTAAATACCACTGATGCTCAATCAAGTCGCAAGTGGCAATGAACTGCGCAAGAACCACCAGAGCAGCAGGATTTCTTTCATGCAATAGGGCGACAAACTCCTGTGAGACGATTGTTGTCCACTTCATTAACCAAACAAAATCGTACCGAAGCGATTTCTTGTCGCGTTCGAGTTGCCATAATTGTTCCTTTTTCGACTCCAAGAGTCGCGCAGCGCCGTCATGAACTTCTTCCAGGCAGGTGATTGCAGCGGCACAGATATCAGCCTCAGATCTCTTAACTGTGCCATCGCCAAGCAACTCTTCCAGGCATTGCGTTCGGAGAGTTTCGTACCACTGAGAAATTGTCGGAGACGTAGACCAGAGCGGGAACTGGTTTGCGACCGTGGCGATGGTAATCAGGTGACGATACGCTGTCGTTCGAAAGGCTCCCGCATCGAGTGCAGCTTTGACTATAACACGCGTACCTCGAGTGGCCACGAATATCTCCATCAAGTGATCAAAGACCATTTCCAGTCTGGCAGTCTCACCCGATGCAGGCGGTGAAGTTCGTGACGGGACGCGACTTTGCTCATAGTCGTCCCCATTTTGGTCACGTTGGTCCCGGTCCAGTAAAGGAGAGTGGTCAGAGACGCCGGCGGCAGAAGTGAAAGCTATCAAGACGGCCATGGCGTAAACCGGACCTGCCGGCCATGGCTGTTTGGTGCGGACTGCGAATTCCTCATTGCCGCTGAAGTCCAGAGCTTGCAGCTTCCGGCGGTATTCCGGCATGGCCTGGTCCTGATGATGCCTGAAAGCACGCATACAGTCACGATGCGTGTAATTTTGATCGTGTTGGCGGTCACTGTCATTCGCAGATCCATGCCTACTGGCAAGATGCAGGGCTGAGATGGCGAGCATGCCATGGAGGAGAAAAGAACACAATGCTGCGTCGCTGACGATGGTGGTCTGCCAGGCGTGAACCACCGAAGGAAAGCTACTGAAAGTGTGTACGGTGGACGTAGAGAAGTGACTCATTAGATAAAGATCGAACGCCCATGTTGTTGCTTCAGGGTGTTCAATATTCAGGATCGGGTTGTCGCGGAACTGTGGAGCTAGCGAGGGAGGGTTTTGGTTATCAAGCAGACTGCAGTGTTCCTTTCTCCTGGTGCAATTTCTGCAAGGTGCCTCCTCATCGCACTATCAATATGCCGGTAAGTATACGTATTCAGATGAGAGCTGGAATGATCTCCGACCACATCTCATCGTCTATTACGTCCGATGTGTAGGGCAGCAAAACACATACTTTCACCCGACGCTGCTTGCAGCGGTCGCACCCGTGCCGGGACTTGGTTGCACTGCGTCCAGAAGGCATGCTAGGCGCGTTGCTTGTGAGCCCGAGGAGGTTCAAGTGAGCTCATAGGGCTGAAATCTCGGAAATGTCGTGTGCGCTTTGAGAAGTGAGATGCCGGAGCTGTGGTGCCGTGAGGGATGCGAGGATGACTGGAGCAGCCAGCGGCCATTTCTGGGTGAGTTGAGATGCGAGAAAACCGAAGAAGCCACCAGCTCAAGTCCCGGAACTAACCTGATATAGACATTAGACAGGCCATGTCATGCTTCGCGCTGAGCTGAACCTCGCGTATTACCCGAGGTCCCACGCGCGGCCGGCAGATCCCCTACCTAAGGGTCTTAGCGGCGCGCGCTAAATTTCGAACGCATGGCTGGGATGTTCCCATGTAAGCGCTGATTCGGTAAGTGCCGCCTCGGACTTCGGATTCAACGCAGACTGGTTCGCGTTTGAATCTCACACGCCAGTCTGGTGGTCCACTGTCCCGCTCCACCGCAGTCCGGACAAGTGAATGTCATCGTCGCCGCGAATAACGAACGAAGCTGCGCCTTGTCATTGACACTTTTCAGGCAGCAACTCAATCCAGTCCATCGATCATTTCCAACTATGTCAAGTGGCGGGCGTCTTGAGCTCGCATTCATCTCGCGTAGTTCCTTCGCCTCCTGGTATGACGGGGTGACTGATACTATCCAACGTAAACCCAGGAACATATAAGGTGAGTATGCCATCCAAGAAATTGTTAAACCTCTACACCAGCACCACTTCCACAACGAACTCTTTCACAAACCAAATATTATTACATCTATCCAAGTTTGGCTGCTCATCATGCAACCTCAAGCTTTTACCAACATGCTCCTACCTCTCGCCGTGGCTGGCCTCACCCAAGCGGCCTCAGTCTCGGCCTTCATCTCCGGAAGCTCTTGTCCACCCTCAGAGCTACTGGTGCGCCTTCCACCCTTCCTCGATCCAGCGGTTAACGGCACTGGAAACGCTACCTCTGGGTGCAACGCGCCCGGCTCCAACTTTGTGGCCCCTCCTACTGGCTTCTTCGCTGGTACTTGGTTCATTCGGAACACTTCCGGAACGTCCTACCTCAATTACGGCAACTTGCAGTGGGACCTCACTCCTGCCATTGCCACCTGTGAGAAGAACAATACGGCGGACTGTGCTGCAGGAACTCTGGCGGGAGAGCTCAATGAAGTCACAACCTGGACCCCAGCCGACAACAAAACAGCCCGCAATGGCGCCATCGGCGGTGGTGGTCGTGAAGTGGCCTCCGTCCGAGCCTACAATACCCCTCGCCGATTGAACTTTCCTGCTCTGAACTCTGACTGGGATGCTGTATTTGACAATACCATCTTAGATGGCCCAGGAAAGGGTATCATGCAGTCTTGGTCAGTGATCTACTGGGGACTGGACGCGAAGGAAATGCCTTTTATGGTTGTCCATGAGACCCCGCAAATCCTTCCCAATGGCGAAATTGGTGTTACCGCTGTTCATGCGATTAGTGTCAACCGAGACGGGGCGGATAATGAATCCTTATCAGCCGTGCTGGAGGCCCTAATGGACCTAGGCAATGCTGAGTTGACTCGTGATATCAAAAAGCTGGGTGAGACTAAGTGGGATGATACTATGAAGGGTGGACCTGCTATCTGTGGTTCTAAGTGTATGAAGAATGAGTTGAAATAGGAGAATATTCAGAGGATACTATAACAAAACTTAAAGAATTATCTTCATCTTTTACTTTTGCGCTTGGGGAACGGCGGCTCAGCTAAGAACGCAGTTCCCGTTGCGTTTCGGCTGCGTCCGATAGCGTGCACAGCGGTCAGCAGGATATCCTTTCCTGTTACTTCTTCGTCCAAGCTAGCTACAATCTACTGGAGCTTCGGGATCTATGCACCTTTATGGATCGAATCGTCTAGCAATTGCGATTAAATGAACTTGCTGGGTATCGCTGGGGGATCCACTCGTATGCGAACCTTGGAGATGTCCAGGGCCTTGGCCCCTTGCGGATGCGCCATGTACAGCGGAAACCATAACGCCGAACCGTTCAACTTGGGCTGTGCGTTGCATCTTGCCCCTCAACGACCATGCTATCTTCCGCCTCCCTGAATTCGACGGGGCGCCCCCGCGAGGTTGCACATGGTTGGGCACGGAGAGCTCCCTCTTGGTAGGATTTACATAGCTCAGCAGGAAGGTTTCCGAAGCGGTATCGTCGGCGTCGGCGCATACCCTTTGAACGAGTGACAAGAGGTCTTCTGCTGTCGATAGCGTTAGCGGATCGTCAAGAGCGGGTTGGTGGGCGCTTAACAATATACCCTTGTTGACGCCGACGGCAGAACCCCATTGCTCAAAACGGCGCTTTTCAGCTTGGAACTGTACAGCTAGGGAATGCGAGTCGTGCTTGAAGCTCGTGTAGGAATTCGCCTTCTCGACGACCTCTAGGCACGTGCTGAAGGGACCTACAAGCCCCGCGATCCCAACGGCAAGTCCCACGAGTTCTATTACCGTGGTATTTGCGGGCCGATTTGCTTGTTGGGCGTGGGGATACGTCTCTCATTAAGATAGCCACACAGGCTGGATATCCACTAGCCGCCATGCAGATGATTGGATGCGGGCTTTCTGCCTGCAGTTTGGCTGTCAAGGTAGTCGAGAGGATGCCTCGCGCCGCAGCGAATTGGATGCCATGAGCACGAGGCCGAACGTCCATTCTGAACAATTGGCGGGTCGAAAGGCCCCAAAAGTTACGTCACCGAGTTGAGGCTGTGTGTTCCGCAGCGGCTGTCCGCTCGTATGCGCGATCTTCGTTGGAAACGTCGGCGAGAAGCTTTTACGAACCGATCGGGAAACGCGTGGCTATAGTGAGCCCGCTTACAAGATGGTGATGCTCTACGGATAGGGACAATTCGATGGACGGAAGCTGTTCTGAGTGGCCTGTTCGACAGTTGATGCCGCTTCGTCATCCCAGTTGGAGTCATACGGCGCTGGGACTAACACACGCGGTGGCGGGCACTCCGGAGTCCCCTTAATGCGGCCCGACAATCTGGAACGACATCTCGGTTGTCAGCATACGTCGGACCAGCCCGTGCCTTTCACACCGTCGACTGAACGGAACGGAAGCGTACACTACTTCTGCCGGCTCCGTGTTCGATCCGGTGTTGCCGCAACCATGTCATGGGCGCGGCCGCGTCTTAGCGTCAAGCGCTTCATCTTTATCCGATTACTTGTTCGAGTGGAAACGCACACGCAACTGCTTGCAACATACTAAACCTGATATCTACCAAGAAGTCAAGGAGGGGGATGATCACACGAACGCTGTCGTGACGTGGGAGGTGATACATGGCAAAAGAATGCAAAAGAAGGGGGGCAAAAGAAGAAAAGTATCATAGTTTGAACCAATCAATTTGGGTTATTTGTGAAGCGGTAGGTCTTACAGCTCAATTCCGCTGTCACTCGTTCGACTGTCGACGGCTCTGATATCCGTCGGAAGTAGCACATCATCCTCGTCATCGTCATCTAGCCGAGGAAAGGTACTTACGCGCGAGGTTTCCGGCGGGGCAATCGGTACGGCTGGGAAGTTTTATCCTGAAAAGTGTAGACTCAATAATAATCCAAGTTTCTAGATGAAAAATCTCTCAGGTTATGTCTTTGCGATCATGGCCGTTGCAGCTGCCTGCTCCCTGAACGACTTTTCCTCCACGACCGATAGCCAAAATGGACCTGCCACAGCATGACGCTACCACCAATGAAGGTCAAGCCAGCAAACACCGCGACAACAGCGGCAATGACCATAATTGCAGACCAGGCGCTTCCATTTGACATGGCTTCCCATCTTTCCTCGCAATTGCCAGACTTTGAGGCCAAGACCACCTGCAACGCCGACAGGATCAGAGAGACTGTCGCAAATAAGAACAAGAGCGGGGCTGCGAAGTCGCTGAGAAACTGTCCGGTCTGCCAAAACTGCTCCTCGTAGAAGGCCATGCCCAGATATCCCCTCCGCCTTGCGGCAGGGGGCTGCAGGATCCGCACTGCCCAATGAAGTCGCGATAAACGGAGCTGTCCAAAGTGCCATCTTGGGGATACTTCTTCGTCGCAAAATTTTGAAAAACGGCAGATGAATGCCTTGAAGTCGGAGTACCTCAACTCCTTCGTTGAAGACTCAAGTTTGATTAGTTGAGGGACAGCTGAACGTGACGAGGATGATGGCTAAGTGGGGATGAGGTGCGCCTCGTTGGCTAATTCGAAGGCTGACGGATAGCGAATCAAGGACTGTACGAACGAAGGAATCTCAGTCCATTTCCACGGTGCTGGCTCCCGGGGGCAAGGTTATGTTCCTAAAACGAATGGACGAGCATGTAGTGCTGTAGTGGTTTGATATAGACGATGCCGCGATGCCACACCAGCTGTAGGGCAGGGTCCTCCGTAACGACAATCTTGCGGCCCTTCTGGAGGTGTTTGTGAAGATAATCGATGTGTTGGCTTGACTTGCGGGCGAAAAAGTCTAGATTTGGATAAATTTCTTCAAGCACGACACATAATAGTTCGTCGCCAAGGCGGATAACGGTGTCATCAGGGATGATCTAGTCTTCCAGCTTGTTGAAGAGCTCCACCTCAGCGGCAAATGAAACGTTCCCTATGACGTTAACACGATATGAGAGTGTATCCTGGTTTAGTTTGAATTTTCATGGGCAGCAAAGCTACAGACAGAAACAGGAGCCTGCGGACAGCCGAGGCAGCTGAACAGAGACATTAATAACCAATTGGTGACCAGCATTCGCCAAGCAGAGGGGCTGGTGAAACACTCCCTCAAAGAAGAGCCTCGGGCATGGTGTCGCAATGCAACACGTGGCCGTTGAGCTGACGACAACTTGTACTGTCGCTATTGAACATCTTTTGATCAAGTCAAAACAACAGCCCACCAGACTGCTATCTACGAACAGCTGCGCTTCCAGCAAGGCCACGCGGATTCTGCAGATACATCAACAGCCTTACGTCACCCTACAACCTTTTGCGTATTCATTGTACCGCTGTTGATTGCGGTCTTTTACCACCGAGCGACAAAGTGTATCCCAACGCGTTTTCATCATGGCCAAGCCCCAAAATAACCTTATGCGGTTGTGCAATTAGGCGGCGATTTGTCACAGTGAGCTTCCGGAGTAGAGTAAGCGCTTTAAGACACCTTATAATGAGAAAGGCCACTGGATTCAGCAGCATCATCTTCGTTCACGGACCGAGTTCAAACCCTGATACAACATGGCTAGCGAAAGCTAATTTTTCGGAAAGAATTGACGCCAGGCAGACAGAAATCCATAAACTGAGTTAGCGATTTCCACCATGAGGACTTCCAAGCAAGCCAGCGGAATATAAGGATGTTCTTCTATAATTACGATTCATACTGTAAGAAAGATGCTGTGCGATTGCGGCTGATGACCCCAAGGAATGAGATTCTCGAGGATATCCATAGGAAAGTCATTGTTTCTGAGACGGTAAGCACAAGCAGCGAGGCCACATAGGATGCAGCATGAAACCCATACCTCGCTATAGTACCAAGGTAGATATCTCATCTTTGTAGCGCATAGCCACGGTGGACTCGTAGTCAAACTGGTTAGTAGGCAAGTGACTCCGCAGGCGAACGAATCTAACCATACTAGGCATTCATTCAAGCCAAGATAAGCCAGAGATCCCTCCAGATCGTGGATCGCACGAAAATAATCCTTTTTCTAGGCACAACGCATCAAGGGACGAGTATAGGAACATGGGGCTGGATACTCGCACAGGCTCTGAGGCCGCTTGGCTCGAATCCATTGATTCTAGCGGATTCAGGCTACGATGGGTTTCCGTTGCAAGACTAGCACAGACACGTCATCCATGCCACCAGAGATAATCTCTACGTTTTCAACTTCTTCGAAAAGCTACCTACCGTTCTATTCCAGCAATAGTCATTCCGATATCAGCAATTTGTGAGTGAATCTACCCTCTTAACGAGATTCGCAATAAGTAACTCCAAAACAGCAGCGCGTCCAAGAGCAGTCTGCTATATATAAGGGGAAGAACGTGAGAAATATTGGCTTATCGGTCGATCATTACAGACTGAACCAGTTTGGATCCAGACTTAGCAGTTACGACATGATCAAGTCAAAGCTCGTTAAGATGTGTGAGCGGTTAACGAGGTCACCAAGACGGTACTACCACGTCCCCTCCGAGTTGGTGGATACTTATATCGAACGGGTCGAGCTGTCACAAGAGCTCGAGGCGAAGTTACAAGTGTCACACGAAACATCGGAAGTCTTAGATGCGGTTCTGCTTCAAGGCCTAGGCGATACTGTTAAGTCACAGTTGGCGCTACGCTACGCGGAAGAACACAGAGATCGGTTCAGTCCTATTCTCTGGCTTGATGCGAAAGATGAGGAGTCCATGCGACATAGTTTTAGGAGATGCGCTCTAGAGCTCCAGGTCGAGCTTCCTAAGGACCATAGCGTGATTTGAGAGCCGGTCTTTGAATATCCTGCTGTACTGGCGGTAAATTTCTGGCTTCACGACAGAATAGAATCTGATGAGGAGTGGCTGGTGATAGTTGACAACGCCAATGACGTTAGTTGGGGCGTCCGGAAGATCATACCAAAGGGCAAACGCGGGAGTCTCATCATAACTAGTCAAGATAACCGGAGCGTATGACTGGTCAATGGAGCCTTCGAACGGGTTCATGTCGGTCTCATGTCAGAGTCGGAGGGCGTGGCGGTTCTCCTCAAACACATTCGTCTGGACACAAACTCAGCTTCCCCAGACATTCAGCAGGGTTGCAGCAATCTGGCGCAGAGACTTGGGCTCCTGGCGCTCGCTATTGACCTTGCCGGTGCCTATATCGGCAACGACCCGAAACTCCAGCTGGCCTTATTCTAGTATTTCGCTAGTTATGAAAAGCATTATACCGAGCTGCTTTGAAAGGATGACTTCCGGGGGCTGCGACCGACGGTAAAGACTGTGTGGACAGTATGGGACGCTACAATCGAGAGGATCTCCAAAGAGAATACGGAAACGCGACCTGACCTATTCCTGACATTCATTGCTCAATTCAAAGGCGGCGTCGTGGAGGAGAGGTCTCGTCTGGCCAGTCTTAGCATGGCAGAAGTCAACAGCCCGCTGAGCAACGAATCTATTGATGGAGCTCAGTATGAGCTGCAGCAAGTTTTATCGAGCACTGACAAGTGATGGGACGGTTTCAAGTACCATCAGGCTCAGGAAGCGTTAGTCAGTCCGTTACAACTTGCTCCAGAAGGTTGAAGGGCATGAAGGAGCGTGGCCCGGTGTATCAATGCACAGTCTGGTGCAATGGAAAGCGAAGCAGAACGAACGAGACCACCCATGGCCATGGTGGTAGGAGGTCTTTGTTTTGGCAGCATGTTGTCAGTTCAACAGAGAATCAAGGCCTCAGTTTGGCCGCCACTTAGTGGTACACTTGCAGAATTTGAGCATTGCCTCTGTCAACAACTTCAAAGACACGGACAAATTCCAGAAATTCGCAATGTCTAACCTGGGCATGATCTATTTTCAGGAGGGGAGAGGGAAAGAGGCCGAGGAGACCTTCAAAGACATACCAGAGACATTCGAGGAAATCCTAGGGGAGAAGCATCAGGCCACTCTTAAGATCACGCACGAACTAGCGACAACTTCCGTGAAGCAAGCCTGGTTCTAGGAAGCTGAAGGGTTGGAACTGCGGGTGATGAAAACGACAGAGAGAACACTTAGACAAGATAGTCCTCTTCGAATGCGCAGCATGGCCAACTTGGCTGTGATATATGTCGAAGTGGGTCGGAAGAAGGAACGCAGCGAGCTATTTGCGCAGATCGCAGAGATAAAGGAAAGAATTGTTGCCCTCGGGCATGGCGATTTCCGCACACTACAGGACCTCTCTGATATGGAAACAACATATTTCGCGTAAGGTCGACTGGAAGAGGCCGAGAAGATACTGGTTCAGGTAATAGCAACAAGTAACCGGATTATTGGAACCGAGCATCCTATGACGCTGTTAAGGATGCATCTCTTAGCGTTGACATACGGTGGACAGAGCGAATAGAAGAAAGCTGAAAATTTACTTAAGCGTGTCGTAGCCATGAGAAAGAAAGTTGTAGGAGAGGACCACCCAGATACACTAGAAAGCATGCATGAATTAGCAACGACGTATACTCGCCAACATCGATAGACAGAGGCTGAAGGCTTAGAACTACAGGTTATGGAAATTAGTGAGACGGCATCAGAAGACGACAATCCTCAGATACTGGCAATCATGGCAAACCTAGCCTCGGGAGAGAGAGGCGAGGCTAATGGGCGTTCGGGCTATAGAGAAGGGCAAGATAGTGCTTGGTCTAAAGGTGGATGACGTGATAACGGAATATTTGAAACGAAGTGAATGGGAGAGAGCGGAAGAACTGGGATGAATGGTGGTAGAGACGAGAATCAGCATGTTTTTGGAAGAGCACCCCGAGACCTTGAGGGGCATGCATGTCTTGGCGTTCGTATATTTGAACCAGGTACGACTCAAGGATGCCGAAGAGCTAGGACTTCTGGTTCTACAGAAAAGGAGGAAGGTGGTTGGGAAGAAGAATGCTCATACTCTGGAGACCATGGGCAACCTAGCAACAACGCATACGCACCAAGGATGATGGAGAAAAGCAGGCAAGCTATTTGCACTAGCGAGGAAGACGTCGCAGGAGGTGTTTAGAGAGGAGCATGCTGACACTCTTAAATACGCATCTAACCTAGCGACCTCATGCATATACCAGAGTCGACTACTGCAGGCTGAGCAGCTGCTTGTCCAGCTGCTACTGACGATGCGAAAGATCCTTGGAGAGGAGGATCACACTACTCTCAGGACTACTAACAACCTTGCCACAACCTATCATAACCAAGGTCGAAGAAAGGAGGCAGAGAGTTTGCTCACAGGAGGGCTAAAGACCATACAGAGAGTATTCAAAGAGGACAATCTTTCTACATTAACAGCCATAAAAAGTCTAGCCGTAATATATATAGAAAAGGGTAAATAGGAAGAGGCTGAGGGACTTCTTATGCAGATTACAAAGTCAGTACAGACCAGCGATTGGGAAAATCATCCCAGAAGTCTGATAGACTTATGCAAACTTGCAATAACATATATACAGCAAGGCCAATTAAGGCACGGCGAGGAGCTGGCGGTCTTGCTAATAAAGTCTATATAGAGCTTAATCAGGGAAGGGTATCCTCACATACTAGCCTGCATAGAGAACATTATATCAACGCACAAGAATTCAGGATAAGTAGAGGAGGCTGAGAAGATTAAAGCGAGGATAACAGGGAACAGAGAAACCTTCCTAGCTATCTAAAAGCACCAACCCTAGCTTTACGCAACCAGTTCACATTAGCAACATTCAAAGGGACCCTCGCAATAGCTGCATGCTCCCCCGATTATCATCCAAGGTGGGCATCAACATTATCCCGCAATCTCCCGTCGTCAGCCCATTGAGAGAAATGTGCAAACGGCTATGAAATACTTGGGATGTCTTGGCATGGGAAGTTTTCATCCATGAATTGGTTTATGACACTGAAAACATGCTGGCTAGTTACACGGAGTTCCAACCCTGGAGAGTAGTCCGTGGCTCAACGAGAAATTGGAAAAGACGATAGATAACTTTCGTGTTCCAATCTACACGGATCAGAGGATCTTTTCGCAGTCGTTCTCTTTGAGGCCCGCTCAGGACATGTTTCATGATATTCTGCCGTTGTGTGACAGCCAGCGGCCATGCTCAGACGGAAACCTGTCGTATAACTCCCAGCGCATGCATATTCCTGATTCAATCAAAAGACACACCGGAGACGAATAGATCGAAGTCCGACTCCACTGAGCTGTGGCACAAGTGGGCGATGCAGCTCTACTCATCACAACTGTGCTGTACCTGAGTTGAGGTGGAAGTGAGCATACACTACCGAACGCTTGATGTGCCAGACTCGGGCGGGACTGTCTGTAAAGTGCGAAAGCTCCTTCTTTTGATTATTCCGGCCCTGCACATGCATAGACACTTACGGTCGCTGTATGGCTGGCAACAAGCCCTACTGATCCTGACCTGGCAAGCTGCCAGGTCCACGCAGGACCACGACCCGCTCCGATTCAAACAGCGCGTTCAAGATGCAGCGAGGCAAGCAACAGGCTACCGAAACTTTCCGTTACTTTGATGGGAGCACGAACCTCAAGGCAACAACCGCCAGGGCCCGGCATCTCTCACTGCTCCACGATAAGGCAGACGGCCAAATCTTCCCAAAGGCTCATTGCGAAGAGTGCAATATGCTAGGGAAGCATGGCTCAGTCATCACAAACCACAAACAGAGGTGCGGGAAATGTTTAGCGGAATACAGCTGGTTCAATGGGTGGAGGTGAGCACGAAAGGATTTCAAGTCGCTCCGGAGAATTCTTGGATATCCCAAAGCTTGTCTTCTCATCTACGCGACTGCGCTGGACTCGCCAGCAAACTCGCCATGAGCACCGCCCCCATTTACATGCTGCTTTACTTATCAACCTGAGCTCAGCTCAAGACTGCCCCTGCATTCAATAGGTTGTTGCCAATATCAAGATTGGAATGTTGTACCACGTTGACGAGATCTCGAGCCAACCCAAGATGGGCTTACCGGGGTTAGTTGGGGAGGTGGGAGCAGTACAGGCACCTCGTTCTCAGTCCAGTCATGTTACATCAATGCCTCATTTTCAGAGGTGATTCTCCACGTATGCATGACTTCCATGCAGCTTTTGCGCGTCACTCTATCAAAAAGTACAAATGGATCCATTCTGATTTGGCAGACTCACATGCGGAACATCAACATCACTCCAAGAGGATTGTCGGCCTTCTCAGTGGCTCATCTGAAGGCATAATGCCTCGTGCAGTCACCACAGTCAGATTCGAAGCTTTCGGGCAGCTAAAGAACTAGGCAGCCTTGGAGATTGAAGGGTCATATGCATGATTTCATACCGAGTTTCCTCAGCTAGGATCCAATACTTATCGATCCGACCAAGTCCCGTTCTGGTTTTGGAAGAAGTTCAGCAGAAACCGGATTACGCCGGTTCATGTGTTTTTCTACTCTCGTCCACCTCATATATTCTCTGATGAGACTGGCCGATAGAAGGCGAAGCCATAACCAGACTTAATTGCTGTGCTTGAGAGTCTTGCAACGACTTGATTGTGGATGCATACGCCAAAAGCTATTCAGCAATCAGACGACCGCTTGGGATTCAACTGCACAACAACATGGATGCCAGACACATCAGACTGGATCGTCATGTCCAGGTCCGCTTGAGTAACAAGAGTCAAAGGCACGAGAAACGAATATGTGTGGTGCTGAAACGCACCTCGCTGCTGAAGCAGCCGGTCATCATTTAATTATTAAACGACCTTTGCATGTGAATGCTTTAGAGAAAGAAAAGACACCGACAAAACTCCCACCCCAGACCCAACACCCAGACGCCACGCTCACGCCCAAGATTCCACACGCACAAACACAGACAAGACGCAAAAGCCCAAGACCGCCAAACACAGAAACACAGCGAAAACCCCCGCAAGCCTCATGTCCGTTCGTCCCTGATCGTTATTCTGCATCCGGCGTTAATGTAAGTCTCAACAGCAGCATGAGCAGCAGCCGTGGCAGCAAAGGAGGATGCGTAGGTCCCGGGCACAGCCAGTCTGGCAGGGACATCTGACTTGGAAAGCTCGAGAACGAGCGCAATGAAGCGGGCGGTTTCGGCATCCAGACCCTCGTATTGAAACGACATGGTGCCATCCGTAGCCACAGTGACGGCGATAGTAGCCGGGGCCTCTGTCATGTCAACGTCGTTGATGGTGTCGAGAACGGATGATGACTCCTGAAAGTCTTCGAAAGCAAGGCTTGTAGCCTGCAGTGGCGCGTCATCTGTGATTGGATCCATCGACACGGTGGGCTCCAGAGGCTGTAGGGGCTCGACGAAGCTCAAGGCCATAGTAGCATCCGTCTGGGTGTGGCGTCCCATCTCCGGGTCCTCGATTTGCTCTGCCGCCGCTTGTGTCTCCCTGAGAGCTATCAATAGAGTTAGCCTCATTCGACTGGGAGTGTACACAAAGCCTAGACAAGTGACTGGTTGGGATAACTGGCAATAACATACCTTTTGCAGCCTTCGTCACATCAATAGTGCTTGGCTCAGGCGGGAGAAGTTGGTCATTGTGCCTGGCATTGGTAGCTTGCCGAATAGCCGCAAGGACAGTGGACTTCTCGAAGCTTGTAGAGCGACCGTTGACGAGGGACGAGATCAACTTGGTGCTGGCAGCTTTTGTCGGAACATCTCGACCTAGCCACAGGAACATGGCGTGTGGGGTGAGCTGCAGGGCTGTGGCGGCGTTGTGGAATCGTGACACGACGTCTGGCTTGTGTGTAGACGCCGTGGGGATGTGAGTGTCGAAGACGAGGGTGAGGGTTTCATCGAGCTCTGTGATGTTCTGACACACGAACTCAGGCCAGTCCAAAGCCTCATTGTCGTTCAATCTGGCATTCCACCACGCAAGATGGAGTCTGTGGAATGAGGCGGGAATAGAGGCCTTTTCCGGATGGTCGGGGTGGAGGGAGAGGAGCTCGTTGAATCGGAGGAGGGCGGACGCCGTATCGTAGTCAGAAACTGTCGTAAAGAGGGACATGATGTAAATAGCGCCGGATGGACTTGGAAAACGTGAAGACGAAGACACGAAAGAGAGAGAAAAAAACCACGAAGAGAAGAGATCGAGATCGATGGCCGCCGAAGAATCAAGAAGAGAAAATCACAGACTACGGGGGGATGTTGGGGATATTTATGCCCAGGTCTCAATTGCGCATTGCGAAGGTCTGGAAGGACGCCGCCATTATGTGCCTGCATTTCTGGAATGGCTCACGGGTTATTGGCAGGGCCAAGGTCGTGTTGCGGCAGGTAGTGTCACGAGGGATAGCTGTTCTGGAAGGCATGTGCCTGAAGTCTTGGGATCCTGTGGAAGGGGCGCATGATGGGCGAGCGATGCCGGGCATGATAATGCCTGACAAGAAGTCGCAGCTGGGAAGGAGCCACGAGGGGATGGATGCCCGGAGAGAGACTGTTGAGGTTCAATGTGACGGAGGGAAAGGGTCGGCATGACAGTGCCCAGATCCAATGGGGAGACTGGGAGCTATCAAAAACGGTAGGAGATGTTCATGCCCACTCTGCGAGGAAGGCTTGGGCTGTTCGTGCCCGGGTCTTCCATGCCCCGGGAGGGAATGTTGCCTGTGGTTCAATGTGACAGACGGAAGCTCGACAGAAACCAAAAACGGTGGGGGAAGTTCATGCCTCGCATGTGAGGAAGGCTTGGGTTGTTCGTGCCCAGGTCTTTCATGCCTGGGGAAGGATCGTCACTAATGGTTGATTGTGACGGAGAGAAAGGGCTGGCATGGCAATGCCCAGATCTAACGGGAAGGTTGGGAGGAATCCAAAACGGTAGTTGAGGGAAGGTTTGTGCCCGGGGTTGCATTGGCGGGGTTGTTTCCTGCCCGTCTCTTTCGTACCTGCATCCTTCGTACCCGGTTCCATCATGCCGGGTCCATTATGTCGGCGCAGGAACTGTCAGGGCTGTTTTCTGCCCGTCGCTTCTGTCCCAGGGTCTTTCTTGCCCGGCAGTCATGTGCCCCTCATGGGCACCTGACCTGGCTCTGACTGTCTTATCAATGCCCGTCATCATCATGCCTTCTTTGCACCTGCCGAACTGGATCTTTCTGGGGTGATGTATCTTCGGTGGGGAGATAAGAGACGGGCATTTCCGTCCCTGAAATGCCTCCTTCCTTGCCCCAGGGCCGAGGCGGGCACTTTCATTCCAGGGCGGGACTGTACCCAGGAAGGACTGGCCCATGGGGACGTCACCCGGGCAGGACTCAATCAGGCAGAACTATCCCCAGGCACGAATCACCCGAGGAGGCTTCACCCGGGCAGGATTGTTCTTGGGTAGGACTCAACCAGGCAGGACTGTCCCTAGGTAGGACTGTCCCCAGGCAGGACTCA